TGGGGGGGGGGGGAATAAACCCTGGTGGGGCGTAAAACATCGACATCCTTTTTTTAAACAAAAATAGCCCGGGAGAGCCCCGGAGTGCCCCGCTACCAACGCGTCCTCGTCCAGCTTTCCGGGCACTCGAGGTTTGGGCTGATCTCTTGTTCCCCCGCCCTGGGCTGGGGGCCACTAGCGAAGCCTGGCACAGGAAAGCTGTGCAAGCTCCGCGCTGCTGTCCACTTGTGGTTGGGAAACAGGTGCATTGACAGCCCCATAATATCCCTGCAACTTTCCGGTGGGTTGTACCGGGAGGGTGATCTGTGCCTGGCACGGAAATTTGGCCAGCCTGCCAGGTCCTTGGGAATGGAAGCGAAGTTGTTACACGGTCTCTCTTTAGGTCACCCCCCCCCTTTATCCCTGCCCAAGGGGACGAAGATCTCCTTGAAGCATGCAAAGGTGGTTGCTCCTGCCTTGGTAGGGAGCTGGCTGCGCGGAAAGTTTAGCTGAATTCTGCTGCAAACCAAATTAAAAAAGGAATAAAAGTTACCTTTCAAGCGCCGCGGTGTAAAGCCAGGAATCGCGGTTATTTATTGTCCCGGCGCTGGCCTTGGCATAAAGATGCTATTTGCTCTCTCCAGTGCAGTGGCCCTGCGGAAGCAACGGGCATCGTTTTGATCGTTTACTAGAGAAATAAGAGAATCGAAAAATACTGCAAGGAAACTTCCAGTCTGGCTCTGGCCGCGAGGAAGGAATACGCCTTTCTCACGCAAGCAGAGGGAAGTGAATCGGGGATCCCGTGAGCACTGGCAACAGAGTTCAAAGCATCCCTATCTAACCAGCCCTATTGAGAAAAAGAAGTGATCGATGACTTAGTGTCTCGGGTCTGTTGTGATTATTTGCTTCCCCACACACCTGTTTTCTGAGAGCGTGCCATGGCTATTCTGCGATTTCTGCTTCAGGGCCAAATCCTGGCCTCCCTGCTCAGGGGGGCACAGCCCCAGTGCAGCAAAGCCACGACTCATCGGGAAGAAGCGAGCAGGATCTGACCCGTGATCCCTTCCCAAAGGCAGGGGGATTGGCTTTAAATAGCACCACATCAGACTGGGGTTTTCTCAACACATTGGAGCTTTGTTCCAGCCAGAGACACCTGCACAAATGGGTTTCAGACCTCCTGCAAAAAAAAAAAAAGAAGGAAAAAAACCAAAACAAAACAAAGAACTAAAAAGGCTTCAGCACCTGCCCGAGCAGGGCTGCGGATTTTAGTCAGGTTATAAGGAAAAGACCAAAAATAAACAACCCCTTGCTTTTAAAACGGGCTGCTTGATGTTTTTATTGCGCAATAAAACTTTTTTTTCTCTTCAAAATAGCTTTTGACAAAAAAATTCTAAGCACTTTGTTTTATTGAATTACTGAGATTTAATGGTTTAATGGGTGAATGCGAGGAGGAGAAGCTGTAAACCTGAATAATAGCATCGCAGCTATGCAGTATCTGGTACACGCCTCCTTGTACAACTCTTGTTAAACGCAGCGTGATCTGTATCTGTCATCGATTTAATATGTCTTAATTCAAATATATCTCCCTGATCAATTTCCTTTTATGAGGACTGTAAAATAAAGAAAATATTTTATGGTTAAATAATAGACAGTTAAATGCGGATTGGCAAGAAGGATGCGATCACGTGGAAACGCGGCGGGCTCCGCGGTGGGTAGGGGAACGGCGGGATCTGCTCGGGTCCTTCCAGTTTGGACGATGGCATTTTTTAAAAAGCACTTCGGAATTGAACCCCATTCATTCTCCCCCCTCCAAGCCCCAGGACCATTCGGATGATTTCCTACGAGGCCTAAATTCTCCTAAAGGTGCATTCGGGGTGGTGCATTGTGCCCCTGCCCGCTCGCAATCCCGCAGGCATGCACATATGTGCACACGCACACACGTGCACACGTAGGGATGCACACACGCGCGCCTATTGCGATGAAAACCCATCTGGCCTCTGAGCCCCCGGCTTTAGCCCTGAAGCCAAAAATCCTACCAAATGCTCGGGACTCTGCGACCGCTTGGGCCAGCAAAAATTAGGACCAAGCGAGGCGCATGCAGCCGTCGGTAAAAGGCCGTATGAAACGTGCTGAACCTCGAAACATCTGGGCTGTGGGAGGGGATCTGCTTCCAAATACATCAAGATAACGGCCTCAGCGACGGGGCCGGGGTGGCATCTTTTTGTGCCGGCCGCATTATGCAAATGTATGCTAATTACCCCGCGCACCACTTACAGACAATCGTCTTTAATGCGCGCCTTATTGATATTTAGGGGAAAGAGGGCGATATTTTATACCGTGCGCACAGGCTCCGGGGGAACCATTCAGATGAGAGGTAAATTAAAGCTTTCCTCAGCAAGACCTTCAAACCTGTTAGTACACCCTGGCTAGACGAGATTAGCAACACGCACTAATGCAATTAAATTGCGGGGCGGGGGGGCAAACAAGTCGGCACCAGACACCCCCAGCAAGGCTTATCCCCGCCAGCGGTGCCAGGGCAGTGGTGCCAGCCCCGGGGTTTCCACCTCCCCAGCGGCTGAAGCCGAGGGGCAGCGAGCAGGGCACTCCTTGGCTGCATTCACATCTGGGTGCTGTGGGAAAGGGCAGAGCCGCTGGGCCGGGGTCGGGGCCGGGAAGGCGCCTGTGGGCCGCCACGCGTGCTTTGTGCCCACCTTTCTGCTCCTGCCAGGCCGGGCAGTGCGCGGGAGCGGCGGGAGCTCTGCCTCCGGCTCTGCGCGCCCCCCTTGACCTCGGGGCTGGGGCACCAGCGGGTGCCAGGCTCCTGGAGCAGCCCCGCCAGGGCTGAGCTGGGAGGGCCACCAGTGTCTGCGGCATGGACACCCCGCGCCCCCCAGTCTGCGCCAGTGCACTCCAAACTGGCCCGCCTCGAGAGCAGCCCGGGGGGCAGCCCACTGGGAGCGAGTCCCCTGCGCGGGACGGGGCGGGTCCTCGCGTGCCCCGGGC